GTATGTTTTCGTTATTGTTATTATTGTAGCTTAGGCAGTATTTTGTAATTGAGGTCCCTGTAACCGTTCCCCGCCGAATTTCGGTGGCAAATGCTGCGCTAAACGATAATGATATGATAACGAGTACACGGCCCCTTCCTGAACGTGCGCTTTAAAGGGTTTCTTTCAGTGACACCGGACGCGTCGCGGTCGCGTCGCCGATAATTTTGAACTTAAAGGCCTAAATAGAGATTTTTTCGCATTGCATTTATTTCCGACCGCGACACGCAACGCGCCCGCTCACCGTTCTGTGGCATAATCGATTAGGCCAAATTCGCGACGACGGAGCGGTGAGCGTTGCGTGTCGCAAACTATCGGAAATCCAAAGCCGAAAGCCGCCCTTGAAGGCGGTATAGCAGCTTAGCGTGCAGCGCGCTACGGGCGCGTTGCGAGTTTCTAGACGGCTAGAAACACGCGACGCATCCGCGTGCTGTCGTGAGTGTCTTTCAACCCCACGATATCCCGCATACCGTACCGAAATCGAGGTGATCTTCTCCCGTCTTCGATACTTTGCCCCCAAATACGCCGCCAAAATAATGAAAACGACGGCGAAGGCGATGATGATGCACATCCACAAGAATCCCGACACCCGATTGTGGGCCTGCAGGTATCGCTTGAAGCCGTGTGCTGTCGTCTTGTCACAGAATTCTAAAGTATGACTTTCTACCGTAATCCGGTCTTGCTTTTACCTTCCCATTTCGTTGGGACATCGCTGACGGAGCCTTCAGAAGAGTGCGGGCTGACTAGGTGGTGCTAAAACTCGAAGTTTACGGGCAATTCTGGGGTTTTAAGGGTCCGGGACGCCAGAAAATTGACTAGTTTCGTAGCCTGACCGATCGTCGTACCTTATCATGGTGATGATGATGCTCAAGGGCCCCTCTCGGTGTCGTTTCTTCATACGGAGGCGCCGGTGGGCGATGCCGCAGCTCGCCCGACATTAGTCGGACTGGGAGAGAGGTGTACGATGTGATACTATGCACATTTCAGGACTAATTAGGAGATTGATGGGTCTGAACCGTTGATCCCGATATTTTGCTCCTTACTGGGGCTCAAGGAAATAGGATTGGCGGTATATCGTATTTGGTAAATCGATGCAAATTCAAATAGGGAGTCATAATTGCATACGGCGTCGCGACACACAACGCACGCTCCGGTACGGTGCTCCGGTAAAATGTGGTAATCCATTACGCATTCAATAAAAACGAGCTTGCGTTGCGTGTCGCGGGCGCTGCAAAACACATAGCGAAACCACAGCCAAGAAATTATATTGCCTTAACTTAACATTTTCTCTAAAGGGATCCACAAGGCAGAACAATGGGTTTCTCAACGCGCGCAACATTCAAAATTTTGAAAGTTCGTGATCCATCAGCAATGGAAAGACAATAGCACGCGTTGCATGTCGCGGTGCGACAAATTCGTAAATCTGTCGCGCATCGAAAGCCAAAAATTCAAAAGCGGTGCCTTGACCGCCCCTTTAGGGGGATGTAGGTCTGGCAGTAATTACAGACCAATTTGACCTGGCCCATTTAGGCCCTATTAAAGAGAACAATAACCAAACTATTAGCCACCCCTGGCGAACAATCAGTAAGGAAATATCCCCATTCCCCATCCTCATCATCATATTGCTATGCTAGTCAACTGTGTCAGCTGTTGCTCCCTGAACCAAGATCGGTTCAAAGTTCGAGGCGGCTCGTCGAAACGTTGCAACCCGAGATGAACCGGAGAATTTTGAGCCCCAGCAGCGGTGAGGAACGCGCAGCCGAGAGCACGTTTTAAAACCTGAGAACGGCCCCTATGAATAACAGGAAAAGCTCTAAGAGCCTCTGGAAAGTATTTTTGGGGTCTTATGACCAGAAGAAAAAGGCAAAAAAAATGGGGCACGCAACTTTAGGCCAGAAATAACATTTTTTCGTTCGTTGGACGGGAAGCTCTCTTGGATTCGGGAAGAAAAAGAGGCAAGCTAGCAACGATTCCTGGGGACATCAGGTCCAGAAGGAAATGGCAGGCTAGCAGAGATTCTTTGTGAGCCGGAGCCTTACAAACTAACGTGTAATCTGCTGAAAAAGTTTCGATTCCCATCAGGCCGCGCAAACTCCCGGGCCAAGCTAGCAAAGAACATTTCCGAAGCCTAGTGCACCAGGGCGAGCTAGCAGAAACCATTTAGGAACAGGAAAGGAAGGAAAGAGCAGCAGATGCAGAGGGCAATCGAGAGGAGGTCATTCGGGAAGTCCGGAAATGAAGTCGGGCGCAGGGTAAGGTAGCAGGATAATTGGGGAAATCCAGCTGCAAGGAAAAAAGATACTTTTTGGGAAGTCCTGATGTAGGCGCTAACCCAGATCAAACTTGCAGCGGTCATTTAAGAAGGCCGGCATTGAGAACGAGCTTTGGGCAAGCTAGCAGAGATCATTTAGGAATCCAAGGGCCAAAAATCCCGGAAAGGCTATTTGAGAATCCTGCAAAACACTGACCGACTACCCGCCCCATGACCCAACCCCAATTCGCAGAATTTCCCCCAGACGGCCCGATTTTCCAGGTACCCGACTCCCGCCTTGAGGTTTGTATTTGTGTCCACTTCATCGGCCTCGAATATTCATAGGAAGTCCGGACCGTGTCACCCCTCACCACCCCAAGCACTCGATTCTCCAAATCCCCTTTTTCTGCCCCTTCCATTCCGTTTTCTGCCCCTTTAGACGCCCTCCTATTTCCTTCGGCCCTCAAAAAATGGGGAACGGCTGGGGGAAGGGAAGTGAAGTCGGGCGGAACGGTCGTGCTCCCCCCGTCCTTTGCTACCGCAGGGTCAACAACAACGAAATACACTCAATCGGCTGAGTGAGTGAAGGCACGAGGCGGAGGGAACAACAACTTGGAGCTGGGCGGTTGGAAGCTGGGCGGATTGACGGGTATAAAGAAACTGACAAGGGATGGATCGACGGTTGTGGCCAACCGGGTGTCGACAGCTACGGTTTGCACCCAAAGGACGCGGGGATTGCGATTTTTGGACCTGTCGATTGCGAAAACCAAATTCGGCAAGATGATGCACGTAGAAGTGTCATTAGGGGTGACACGTAGCTGCCTAAACCTAGCGGGTCGAAGGGGTCGATTGTCGGAATTTTTAGTCCCTCTAAATCTATACTGACAGTCAGGGACGTAGCGTAATACAGGCCCCGGGGGCCCGGGGCCCCGAAATCGGCCGGGGCCCGGAACTTCGCAAGGGGGACCCTTATGATTTTATTTTCTCGAAATTTTGCTGACCTGCGGCGCTATTTTTCACGTTTTTACGGCTATTTGTAGACCTATGCAACCTTTTCAAAAATTTTAACATGGCGCTGTTTTTTCGGCAATGATTTGAGCTTGTTGGAAAAATTTTTTGGGGGCCCCCCCCGAAATTTTTTTCTGGCTACGCCCCTGCTGACAGTCCATCCTCAAAGCCGCGTGTTAGCTAGATATGCCGAGAAAATTGAGCAAGAGAGACGATAGACGAGTGAGCGAATGAGAGAGAGAGAGTCAGATTAAGACGGAGAGAGCGAGAGAGAGAGAGAGAACGAGAGAGAGAGAGAGAGAGAGCGAGCGGGAGAGAAGGATTCCAGCTGACATCAGGCAACGAAAATCGCAACTAGACTACTCTTGCCCCACGCCCGGGTCTCGCCGCGATTTCTTTCATATGTTAGTGGAGCACGAGACGGCCATGAATACCCAAAAACCACAGCCAAGAATCAAGCAAGCCTATGGCCGGGGAGTCTGCCGTAGTGAGATGGAGTACACGCGTATACTTTAGATGTCGAGAAGGACGTATACAGTAGTATCACCAAAATATGCCAATTACAAAAAGGCAAGCTCGAAAATTCAGCAAAAAATCGCCAATCCGCCATCGCCAAAAAATTTTTTTAATCTGGTTTTGGGGGATCAAGAATATATATTTAATGGGTTGTCATATAGTCATACAGTACGCTACCGTACGCCACTCGCCACAGTACGCGACGCTACACTGCCAATGCGGGAATTCCAGTAGGAAAACCTCGAAATTCGAAAAATTCTGTATTATTCGTTATCACCAGAAAATTTATTGGGCCCAGAATTTGGGTAACTGCTGGTGGCGTGTACGGTAAGATACAGTACGCTACAGTACGCTAAATTACGCCACCGTACAAAGAAAAAACGGTAGGAACTCTCGGAAAAGTGCTAATAAACCAAAAAAGCTCGCTTAAAAAAAGCCTGTTTCGGGTCTTAAACATCGTTTTTACCTTGACAGTCCCTGTTAAAAACATAAATTCCGCCAGATTCCTATCTGCAACCTGAGCACTATACTCTGCCATACCCCCAGGGGGTATACGGCCAGGGGGTACAAAAGGGCACGAGGTGGGGGGTACAAAGGGGGTACGGGTGGGGGGTTACAAATGGGTACCCCCAGTAGCACACAGATTTTTTCTCTAGCGACCTCCCACATATACCACATGTCGGTGGATCGCAAAAATACAACAAGAAAGGACGAAGTCAGCTGGAATTGTATCAAGGCAGTTAATAAAATACCAAATTTGAACTAAACATTTTTTTTAAGTTGAAAGTTTATCGGCGGACGAATCTTTTGAAATAAACCCTGAAAACCCCTGGTAACGTTATAGTAAGAGTTTCAATAATGTTTTTAGTAAAATTCCAGACATGTTTTAAGTGGAAAAAATCACAAAAATTTGAGAAATGTTTACTTCAAGTTTCGTATTTTATTAAATGCCTTGGTGAAATTCCGGCGGACTTCGTCATCTCTTCCTGAATTTTTATGAGCCACCGATATGTGGTATGTGTGGGAGGTAACTGAAAAATCTGTTGGGTTGCTGGGGTGGGGGGGGGGGTAGGGGGTGGGGGTAGGGGTGGGGTACCCCTTTTGTACCCCTTTTGTACCCCCATGGGGGGTATACCCCCTGGGGGTATGGCAGAGTATACTGAGCACCCTAAAAAATGACCCCAAAACCCATGTTTCCAGGCACGTTTCGAGCTCAAAGACGAAGAAACGAGAGAAATTTGTCAGACCCCCACCAAGAGTCTCGTTTCCAGAGCTGGCCCCTTTTAAAAGAAAAATGGCGTACGCGACGCAACTGTTGCCTCTAAAAAGTGGCGTCAACGGGGAGTGTCCGTAAATAATCGCCACCACTTTCCGCGTCTGTCCATCAGTGTCACGATCCCTCACCAGAGGCTCTGGAAAAGCCGAGTGGTCAGCGCTTTAAACTCGACAAATTTACGCCCACTAGAGATTGGGGAACATTGATAGATTAAAGGGGTTGCCAAGTCAAAGTCTAAGCCATTTCTAAGCAAGCAAATTCCCCAAAAAAACAAGCTAGCCTGTCTGCTTGACCGTCTATTTGGCTTAGAAACTTCCAGAGAAATCTTTTCTAGCCTGCGCGCTGATTCGTAATCCCCCAGGGATCTCCGCTAGCCGGCCTTCCGGACAGTAAATCTCCCCTTTGGGCTTCAAGGATCCAAAGGAATCACTGCTTTGCCTTCCGATCAGTACTCTCCAAACATAGAAAATTTTCGCAATTAACACTCAACTTCTTTCCATCAGCACGTGTACAATTGGGTTCGAAAATTTTGATATAACCCTCTGCTAGCTTGCTTTCCTGCCAAAAGTCGGCCTCAAATACACCTCAAAAATTCAAACGTAAAAAACCATCTCAAGGCGGTAAACGAGGCAGAGACAAACCCATTCCAGAACAACGAAAAACATCATTTTCCGGGTAGCCCCGGCCTTTTTTCGGGCCCCTATTTAGGGTACTCTAGGAAATGAGAAGAAGCTTTTCTTGGAAAGTGGTAGCGGCAAAGGGATGGGCACTCAGCATGGCCACCGATAGACAGACCAAAGGCAAAAATAAGGGCCAAAAGTCGTGGGAGACCGGGCGAGTCAGAGAGAGAAAAAAAGAGAGAGAGAGAAAGAGAGAGAGAGAGAGAG